CAGCCCTCAGACAGAACAGGCAGGTTGTCGATGAGTGACAGAGCAGAATAAGGATGGAGCAAAGTGTGGATGCGCTGTCCTTGAAGGACTTTCAACTCGGTTTTGTTTATACTATTTTGCTTAGCCTATAATTTTAAATGAAATATGTCATAGTTATTTATTTTTCTCTGTGACACTTTTCCTACTCTGTTAACAGAAACATGTCAAACGAATTTAGTATTTTGACAAGACTAATAAAAATAGCTAATAGGCTATTTTTGTACAACCTACATTTGTATTTTTTTTCTCTCTGCAACACTTTTTCCCTATTGTGTTGTCAATGTTAAACGAATTGTATCCTGACAAGACGAATAAAAATAAGAAATACAATTTTTGTAAAAAAAAATTCTGACACTTTTTCCCCTACTGTGTTGCATAAAATATTAAATGAATTTGGTGTCTTAAGATAACTCATATAAATTCAAGTCAAAGTCAATAAATTCAAGACTCTTCACAAGACGAATAAAAATAAGAAATACAATTTTTGTAAAAAAAAATTCTGACACTTTTTCCCCTACTGTGTTGCATAAAATATTAAATGAATTTGGTGTCTTAAGATAACTCATATAAATTCAAGTCAAAGTCAATAAATTCAAGACTCTTCACAAGACGAATAAAATAACATACAATTTTGTGCAGACTACACTTTTATTTGTCAGTCTATTTCTCTTTTTTTCAGCAGCGGAAATTTAAATGTGAGATTCTGGAAATGAGATCTAAATTTAGCGGGAACGGTCGGGTCGGGAAGAAAATTATTCTAAGCGGACAGCAGGTGAACAAAGAGTGAATATACAGCGGGAGCGGGTGGGTGCGGAATAGAACCTTGTGGGAGCGGGACTAAAAAAAACAGTCCCGCGCAGACCTCTACTCCCAGTTTATGTTAAGGAAAAAGCTTGAAAACAAGCAGTTTTTTCAGTTAAAGCAGAAATATTGGATTAAATATCCTATATGATGGCATACGAATATTGTGTTATGTTATTTTTTTTTACTCAAAAAGGTTAAGAACCACAGATTATAACCTAAAATATATATCTAAAGTTTAATAATAAAATATATATGATTTACAAGAATATATATCTAATATTTTATTTTTAAATATATAATATACTATAATATAGGCATTCACATACAGATTTAATATACTAACATACAAGTATTTTATATACATTTTTCATTTATAATGCATTATTATATAAAATACATATGATATTATTAACACTTGAAATTTAGCGATAGCTTACTATCTGCAATGATTCAATTGAAATACCCAGTTACCCACTTGCAACACTGGCGAATTCAGATTGGACAGAAGTGGACGATCTGAAGTTACATTTCACAAACAAATGCTGAATTATTTACACTCGCAATGTGTCTGCTGACATCATGTGCATTCTAAAAAGAGCATATTTTTAGTATAAGACACCTTCTTATTTTTGCAATTACACAAATCTAATTAACACTAAGAAAAAGAGAAAAAAAGTCTTAAATCCTTACACTTAACACTGCACTTCACAGATTCTCAGATATTCACAGATTTCCAGCCGCCCTATATGACAAAGTGATGGTAATGTTTGAGTCTGATTATCAAAGCATCATTACACTGAACATATAAAGGATCTCACAAACAAACAACCTATTAAGGGTTGCCAGGTACTCATTATTATGTTTCTGTCTACTCTGACACCTGGCTACATTCATGTGGGCTTTATCACTATCATAACAGAGAGGTTACAAGCATTCTGACAAACGAACCCCCTGTAAAATTACCAGCTGACTGACACATCATGTTTTTATTGTGTCTGACAAAACAACCAACTAGTAGGGGAATTTTTCATAAAATGATAACAGCTGTTTGCACGTATGGGCCATGCCAGTGTCTGGCAATCATCAGTAACAGAAAATAATACGAAGCTTGCTTATTAACTGAAGCTTGCTTGCTTAACTTCATGTTCACAGGGCACACAAATAGCACAAAAATCCAAATCAGGCAACGCACCACCCTGGTACCCACACACATATATAATTATATATACATCGAAATGATGTTGCTGCCCTCACGGCCTCTGTGGCATTCCTAGGATACTTCAGTGTGTTGGTGTTTTCGGTGTCGTCTACATTGTGATGGATCTGAGGCAGCTGGCCTTGAGGCTAAACACGCACACATTTTGACAGAGCATTACCATTAGGACTCACAGGAATGTTTGAACTTTCTCTTAAGCCATTGTGTCTCCCAAGTGCCATTGATCAAGCAGCAAAGATCGAAACGGTTGACAGCCCTGATTTCTAAACCGGAGAGATGCTGTTATTCTTTACATAAGAGGGTGTATAGCAAATTAACTATTTAAAGCTGTTCCAGATTCTCGAAATCACCCAAACCACTTCCACGAATGGCATGAAAAGTGAACCATGGTCATGTGAGCTGGACTTATTCTAAACTAGCAGCGAGTGGGTGACTGGTTTTAAAAGTAGAGCAAGAATATCACAGCTAACTCATGAGTGGAAAATCCCAGTTTACTCTTGCAATGCTAATGCACATGGCAAGCTCCTCCCAGATTTCTAAGGGAGGAAATGCATTTTGGGATTGCATATGCTCTCGACTAGTATAGTGTGTTTATGTACAGTGCCGTGAAAAGGTTTTTGCCCCCTTCCTGTTTTTTTTATTTTTTGCATATTTGTCACACTTAAAATATTCAGATCAATCATCAAATTGTAATATTACACAAAGATAATGCAAGTAAATACAAAATGCAGTTTTTAAATGATTATTTCATTTATTAAGGGAAAAAAGCATGTCGAAACCTACCTTGCCATATGTGAAAAATGAACTGCCCCCTCCTGTTAAATCATGAAAGAACTGTGATTAACCACATTATTTTAGAAAGCTGAGTTAAATTTCACTAGCCACACCCAGACCTGATTAATGCCAGAGCTGTTGAATCAAGAAATCACTTACTGTAAATAGCACCTGTCTGACAAAGTGAAGCATGCTTAAAGAGCAACACATCATGCCACGATCTAAAGAAATTGATGAGAACAGATGAGAAACAAAATAGTTTACATGTATCAGTCTAGAAAGGGTTATAAAGCCATTTCTAAGGCTTTGGGACTCCAGCGAACCACGTCAGAGCCATTATCCACAAATGGAGAAAACTTGGAACAGTGGTGAACCTTCCCAGGAGTGGCCAGCCAACCAAAATGACTCCAAGAGCACAATGACGACTCATCCAGGAGGTCATAAAACAACCCAGAACAACATCTAAAGAACTGCAGGCCTCACTTGCCTCAGTTAAGGTCAGTGTTCATGATTCAACAATAAGAAAGAGACTGGGCAAAAATGGCATCCAAGGGACAGTTCCAAGGCAAAAGCCACTGCTAACCAAAAAGAACACAAAGGCTTGTTTCACATTTGCCAAAAAATATCTTGATTATCCCCAAGACTTTTGGGCAAATATTCTGTGGACTGATAGACAAAAGTTAAACTTTTTGGAAGGTGTGTGTCCTGTTACATCTGGCGTAAAACCAACACAGCATTTCATAAAAAGAACATCATACCAACAGTCAAACATGGTGGTGGTATTGTGGTGGTCTGAGGCTGCTTCGCAGCTTCAGGACCTGGACGACTTGCCATAATTGATGGAACCATGAAATCGGCATTCTATCATAAAATCCTGAAGGAGAATGTCCGGCCGTCAGTTTGTGACCTTAAGCTTAAGCGCACTTGGGTTATGCAGCAGGACAATGACCCCAAACACACCAGCTAGTCCACCTCTGAATGGCTCAAAACAAAATTAAGGTTTTGGAGTGGCCAAGTTAAAGTCCAGACTTAAATCCGGTTGAGATGATGTGGCAAAACAGTCCATTCATGCTCGAAAACCCTCCAATGTGGCTGAATTAAAACAATTCTGCAAAGAAGTGTGGGCCAAAATTCCTCCACAGCGATGTGAAAGACTCATTGCCAGTTATCGCAAACGCTTGATTGCAGTTGTTGCTGCAAAGGGTGGCACAACCAGTTATTAGATTCAGGGGGCAATTACTTTTTCATGTAGTGCCAGGTAGGTTTGGACAGCTTTTTTCCCTTAATAAATGAAATCATTATTTCAAAACTGCATTTTGTAATTACTCGGGTATATCTTTGTGTAATATAAAAATTAGTTTGATCTGAATCATTCAAGTGTGACAAATACGTAAAAAAAAAAAACAGGAAGGGGGCAATTTTTTTCACAGCACTGTAGATATATGCAGATATGTTCAAAAATTTGGTGTCTAAAAAATAATTAAATATTTTTTGAAAGTCTCTATGCTCACCCAGACTGCATCATAAATTACAGTAAAACAGTAATATTGTGAAATATTATTACAATTTAAAATAACCATTTTCTATTTTAATATATTTTCAAATGTAATTTATTCCTGTGATGCAAAGGTGAATTTTCAGCATCATTACTCCAGTCTTCAGTGTCACATGATCCTTCAGAAATTATTCTAATATGCTGATTTGGTGCAAGAAACATTTCCTATTATCAATGCTGAAAACAGTTGTGCAACTAGACACTGTGATACAGATATTTTAGGATTTTTTGATGAAAAAAAAAACATTTATTTGAAAGATTTTTAAAATAATATACAAGTCTTGATTTTTTAAATCAATTTAATGCCTCCTAACTAAATAAAAGTATTAATTTCTGTCAAAAAAAACCTTTTAAATGCTAGATTAGATATAAATCCACAGGAAAAGGTGTGCAACTTGTCTGGACTGGAATTATGTGAACGCAACTTAAATAAGATGTAAATAATTAAAATAACTTGCTCACCATAGGTAGGCCATGATGCTTCTGCTGTTAATTTGATAGATATTTTAGTAATAAAGCCTATAAACACTGAACACAATTTTCATTTCCTGAGGTGCTCAAATCAGAAAAGGTCTCACAAACAAATTGAGTAATAATATGAAAGTGACATACAATGCTGCATCCAGGGCAGTCGTTTCCATTCTCGCACATTCGTCGTCGCGACTGGATCCCACCGCCGCATGGAACTGTGCAGCGCTCCCATGGAGACCATGCTGACCAATAGACATGTGGGGGGCAGGGCAGGTGCTCATTGCAGTATCTAAAGTAGGTTGAAACAAACATTTCAGCATGCAAATAAACGTTTATTCACAAACTCATCTCCTAGTTATTCACTCAACCCATCCTGATTATGCAATGGCCTCAATAATTGAATATGAATCCTCTGAAGCATGAATTATTAAATCATAAAGAAAAAAAGTTATATTTTTACTTCAAAGAAAGAATATAATCATTTTCAATCTCTTTCTCCCTGTGAAATGGTTGTACATTACAATATAAACTAATTGTAAACATTTCAAAAGTACTTGGTGCATCAAGCCATGATGAATTCATGCTGCCATATAAAAGAGCCATTTAAAAAAATCCAAGCACAAAACAAGTTTTACCTTTAAACAAGGAAAAAATATTGAATTTAACAGGTAGGACTGCAAACGAGATAATGACTGGCTAGCAGTTGTGTAGGTCTCCAAGGACAGGAAATGCCTAGGTTAACCTTAGTGTAATGAGCACTGATGGAGCAGTGTCTTATCTAAATAAGGTCTGCAGGCAGAGCGAGAGGGGGTTTTCTGGGCCCTTTTGTCCACTTGCAAAGCCAGACGTGTGGGCTGGACGAGTAGTTGTAATTGAAAGGTAGTTGGTATAAAGGTAATTGGTATAAAGCATGATGATTGGACACACACAGTCAATCATGCCAGCTCTCATGTGGTCTCACTGCAATCAGGGGATCTTTGAAAGGAAGCGAATAATAAATGAAGTCAGCTTCCTTTTGAAGATACGCTCATAACCAGAACAAAGGCTCGGAAAATAAATAAAAAAATAACCTCAGCCATCTTCAGCCTGTGATGACCCCAAACCAGAAAAAAATGAGTACAGATGTAAGCAGGATACAAATAAAGCAGGAAAATCTGCACAAATTCTTACTGATTTTAAGTGCTAAAAACATAAAATCCGAAAGGTAACTGAAATCATATTCTTTTTATTTGACCCCCCTCCCCCAAGTCACAAGTTTTCCTTTCTCTTTGGAATGTTACAAGCTGTTCGTGAATAGATAAGATCCCTAAAGTTGCAAAGACTAAAGTCTCAAACCCAAAGAGATATTCTTTATAAAAGTTAAGACTCGTTCTAACACGCCCCCACGTCTACATCACGATGTGGGAAGATTTACATAATACCGCCCAAATGTTCACACAAAGAAAGAAGGCGTAACTTTGATTCTCGCTGTAGTATTATTGCAGCTGCCGCTATGTCGTGTATACGCTGTGTGTTTCGTTATGAAAGCAAACGTCTCAGGTTACGTATGTAACCCTAGTTCCTCGAGGGAACGAGACGCTGCGTCGGAAACGCTAGGGGAACGCCCTTCAGCGTGACGGGCTCTGAACCTCGTGTGTAATCAGACCAATAGATGGGCGAGACGTCTACCGGAGGCCTCAGCCTCAGCGCACCACGGAGGAAAACTAGGGGGTGTCTGCCCACTGACTGGTCACCAAGAGGGGCGTGGTAGGCCGCAATAGCCGCCACGTAGACCTTCAGGGTGAAGTGGGCCAACCCTGCGAAGAAACGGGCCTGCACGAACTCCAACACTGTACCAACTGGGCAGTTAACTGGGTCGAGCTGGTGGTCTCTACACCAAGAAGTGAAAAGTTTCCACTTCAAGGCGTACAGTTTCCTTGTGGAGGGAGCTCTGGATTGGAGGATGGTCTCAACAACCTCGGTTGAGAGACCGGAAGCTACGAGTTGTGCCCCCTCAGGGGCCACACCCACAACTTCCACAGCTCCGGGCGGAGGTGGAAGATCATACCCTCCACCTGTGAGAGGAGATCTCTCCTGACGGGAATCTCCCATGGAGCGCCGTCGAGGAGAGAAATCATGTCCGAGAACCATACTCGGCCCGGCCAGAACGGGGCTACTAACAGAAGACGGCCCCCGTCCCGGCGCACTCTCTCCAGAACTCCTGGGAGCAGAGCGATCGGGGGAAAGGTGTACAGACAAAGCCTCGGCCACGTCTGTACCATGGCTTCCAGCCCCAGTGGAGCTCGATGACTCAGAGAGAACCAGAGGGGACAGTGAGATGTCATATGAGTCGCAAACAGGTCCACCTGCCTGGCCAAAAACTCTCAATATCTGCGTCACCACCCTGGGGTGAAGCATCCATTCCCCGGGCCTCGGCCCTCGGCCCCTGTCTCGACAGGATGTCTGCTCCCAAATTGAGATGCCCAGGAATGTAAAACTGCTCTCAGCGAGAGAAGTTTGCCCTGGGACCACACAAGGATCTGGTACGCTAGTTTGTACAAACGGCGTGAGCGCAGACCTCCCTGGTGGTTGATGTAAGAGACCACCGCTGTGTTGTCGGTGCGCACCAACACATGGTGACCTCTTAGGTCTGGGAGGAAGAGTCTTAGTGCATGAAGCACGGCCCGCATCTCCAGGCAGTTGATGTGCCACGTGAGATGGCGACCACTCCACAGACCGCGGGCAGGGTGGCCATTCATGACCGCTCCCCAACCGGTGAGGGACGCGTCCGTTGCTAGCGTTACGCGGCGACAAGGAGCTCCCAGCACCGGACCCTGAGCCAAGAACCAAGGTTTCCACCACATGTCCAAGGCACGTAGGCATCGCCGCGTGACCTTGAACATGCGAAGTGGGTTTCCCCTCGGGGAAAACCCCCTGGTCTTGAGCCACCACTGTAGGGGCCTCATGTACAGCAGGCCAATAGGTATCACGTTGGACGCAGCTGCCATCAGACCCAGCAGTCTCTGAAACTGCTTGACAGTGAGTGAGAGTGGGCTCTGAGTGGGCTCAGTGGGCTCTGCTTCAGAGCCTTCTCTGACTCTCGCGACTGCGGTAAGGATCGACTCGATCCGAGCAGGGGACATACGTGCCTCAAGACTGAGCAGTTCATATGACGTAGATCTAAAATGGGACGCAACCCCCCATCCTTCTTCGGAACTATGAAGTACCGGCTGTAGAACCCAGACTGCCTCGCATGAGGAGGGACCACCTCGATGGCCTCCTTCCTCAAAAGAGTAACTACTTCTTGTTCCATGACCAGAGCCTGCTCGGGGCCCACCACCATGGGCGTAATCCCGTTGAAATGAGTCGGGGGAGAACCAAACTGGATTCTGTAGCCTCTCTCTACAGTGTGCAGGACCCACTGAGACACATTTGGCAGTAGTTTCCACGCTGCCAAAACGTCTACTAAGGGAATCAGTCTCTCGAGACTGATCTCTGGTGTAATACGAGCCTCTGGTGTAATGCGAGCAGCCAGGTCGGTGCCCTGTAACGGCGAACTGGCAGGGAACAACCGTACCTGCTGCTCTAGAGACCTCTGCAGAGGTCGCGAGCCTCTTAGCACTGCTACGTTGCCAGGCGGTAACTGAGAGTGGCGCTCGCGGGAGACCGCTGCGGCCTGTAACTCCGGTAGGGTTAGCAGACCGATCTCCTGAGGGCACTGAGGCGAGACGGACAACAATCGCAAGATCACAGGCACGGACACACTCCTCGGAGCGAGCCCGGCGAGAGCGGAGCGCCTTCACAGCGGGCTTCTTTTTTTTTCTCTCGAGAGCCGACTGCGCGAGCTCCGCTCCCCATTGATGCTGTTCATTATAATATCAGGCATAATATGCTTGTGTACCTGGTGTTTGTGCAACTGGCGAGCTCTCTGACACCCTCCGTATCAATCTCCTCGGAGAAAGACAGGCGGAGCGTCGCGCCCTCTCCCCGGGGGGGAAGTATCGCAGGCGGATACTTTAAAGGTTGCGGGCTTCCGAACCCCGAGAGCGGGCGCTGGATCTGGTGATTAGCAGATCCATACGTGAAACCCACGAGCACAGCCGCCTCTCCGCCTCGGCGAAAGCGGGGCCGGCACCGCGAAGAATGCTAGTGAAAGCTCCCTCCTCAAAGAGAGCCCTCTGAGAGCGAAGCAAGGCAGTAACAATCTCGCCCTAGCTGTGCAGTCTTCCATATTAGGCAGAGACTTAGAAGTCTGGTGGCGTGGGCAGTCGCGTTCCTCTAGCGTTTCCGACGCAGCTCGAGTTCCTGAAGAGGAAACTACTTTGTTTGGTCTTCCAAAAGAGGACACGACTAGAAATCAATGGTTAAGTTGTATGTACAACACTGTTCCAGAACAGTTCAACCCAAATATTCAGATGTGTGCAGAGCATTTTACTGAGGACGAGGACTGTTTCCTGGGAGAGTATAGCCTACAATGTCGGTGTTCCAACAAATCGACGAAGTCATCAGCTTCAGGACGCGCAGACGGGGGAAGCGAGCCGGCACGCTCGTGAAGCTAAGGCAGCGCGGATTCAGGACGCCGTTGCCTAGCATCCATCTGGCGAACCTCCGCTCTCTACCCAACAAAACGGACGAGCTCCTTCTGCTCTCCCGGACAAATAAGGATTTTTCAAACTCTGCTGCTTTGTGTTTCATGGAAACCTGACTGAAAGACGCCATTCCGGACAGCGCGTTGAGTATGCCAGGCTTTCAGCTGTTCAGAGCGGACTGCGACGCAGAATCAACAGGGAAATTGCGCGGCGGGACATGCTTTTACATCAATGAGAGGTGGTGTACAGATGTAACTGTGCTAAAGAAGATGTGCTGTTCAGATCTAGAAGTGCTCTTCATTAACTGTAAGCCTTTCTACTTGCCGTGGGAGTTTTGTTCGCTCTTTCTCGTAAGTGTGTACATTCCTCCACAAGCACACGTGAGCTCCGCTTTACAGAAACTCACTGATCAGATCACAGAGACAGAACAACAACACCCGGACTCAGTTCTCGGGGACTTTAATAAAGCAAATCTCTCCCGTGAACTGCCAAAATACAGACAGCACATCACATGTCCCACCAGAGACAGTAATATATGGGATCACTGTTACACCACAATAAAGAATGCATATCACTCTGTCCCTCGAGCAGTTTTGGGGCTCTCTGATCACTGTTTGGTTAATCTTATACCAACCTACAGGTAGAAACTGAAATCAGCTAAACCTGTATTAAGGACTGTAAAAAGATGGACTAATGAAGCAGAGCAGGATTTAAAAGCTTG